CTAGTAGTAGTAGATAAAGCCCTAAAATCTTTGGGTCCACAGCTTTCAGCCGTTGATGTAACAGACAAGTCTTCTTTTGTTTCAGCCCATTCAGTACCAGGTAACAAAAAAATTGACCCTCAGAAAAGAACTCTCTTCAAGACAAAGAAAGATGCAAAAAGAAAATATCAGAAATTAAGTCCCAGCTTAGAGGAAATAGAGAGAACTGCTGCTAAAATAATTGTAAATGCTAAAACATCAATGTAAAAACTTTTTTTACATGGATGTTTTAGCATTTTGTAAATTAAAATTCTATATATTTGGTATTTCTATGATGTATTTTTCTTAACATGTTTTTAAATTTTTTTATATTTTAAAAGTTTGTGGTCATTTTAAAAAAGTTATTTTTTATTTTTAGAATACAGATTACCCAAAACAGGGTTTGTAATCAAGAAATAAAGTATCTGAAAAAAAGCATTTTTTACATTATCAGTTACATCACTTATTTAATCAGTTTTATGATTTAGGACTCTTGGAACATCTTATAAAAAGCAAAGAATTGAATTGTTTATATAAATAGCATACAGTGAATTGAAATTTATCTTTAATTATGGATATAAAATTCATTAGTTTTAGAAGATTCAATGCCATTTGTTTTAAGTCTATAGACAGTCATATTTCTTTACAGACTCAGTCTTCAGCTCTCTGACTTCTAACATCAAAGCTCTGGTGAAAGCCACTATTCAGAAAGTGTTTAATCTAAATAGAAAATTTTTTACATTACTCAAACCTAAATAGCAGCAAAGTGAAGTAAATGTTGAATTTTTTAAAATTAGTCTTTATTGACACAAATATCAAAATTTCTGGAAAAAAAATTAATTTTCCTTCCAATAAAACTAAAAACTGACACTTAGTTCTTATTTTTTACTTTATTTAAACTCTTTTCTGAACATATCATAGTTCCTAAACTGTCCGACAGAGGGAGACACCATCAGAGTAAGTTGGAACGCGCCCGTTCGCTAGACGCTTGTCAATTCTACCCCCAAGGGGATAAAATAGGGGATGAAAGTTTGTATGAAACTTTGTCAATTTTAAACTGATCGGGCTGAGACTTTGTATGCATAAAGCTACTATGACGTAGGCATCCCCTAAGAAAGGATTTTGATAAATTCCACCCCTAAGGGGATGAAAGTTTGTATAAATCTTCTTAGATTTTCGACTGATTGAACTGAAATTAAAGATTGGAGCTACTATGATGAAGACGTCCGCTTAAATAGGATTTTGATAAATTCAACCCCCATGGGGGATGTAAATGTATTAGTTTGAACCTATCAGTACCTAATGGAACGAATAAATTAAGATGAACAAAATAATTTTTAGTTCTAAATGTTGACAATAGATGGCGTTAGTAGTATTTTAAAACGCGCTATCGTTGTTTTCACTGAGTTACATATACCCGATGATGAGTGGCCGCCGTATCTAATAGTACATACTATACCTAAATATTTCTAGCGGATTATATTTGATGGGGGTTAATTAGGTATAGTTTTTGCGGAGATTATATTGTACCCTTTGTACATAGTTGTACAAAGAAGTTTTGTAGGCCCTAATTTTTTACACACGCTAAACGAAAGTAAAGCCGCAAAAACTATACCTAATTAATAATAATACTTCTTAACGCGAGCGAAGCCGCGGGCAAAAGCTAGTCATATATATATATGACATTTGACATTGAGAGCTTATTGTGTAAATTAGTGATTTTGTTGACCTTTATGATACTGCTCACTTTTCTAATAGGATTTTCAAAATTTATTTTTTATGTAATTTTTTCTGTATATTACATGATTACAACTAATAACAAATTTTATTTTATTTTCTATTAAATTATACTATCAGAAAGGAAATCTTTAAAGTGCAGAAATAAAATTCTTAAGATAAATTATTAGTTATGTTGTAAATTTTAGATGAGAAAAGAGAAATGAATGAACTAATCTAGTAGTTGTGTGCCATTCATGGAAGCTGTGGAAGCACTACTTCCCTTGTATTTTCTAAAATATAAATATATATTGTGTGATTATTTTCATATTTTAACATACTTTGAATTACTTAAAATTAATATTTTATTATAACTGCATTATGTACCTTATTACAAATTTCTATATTACATGTGAAAAAATAATAAAATTGCCATTGTATATTCGAATATCAATTTGTATATGCATATTCTGAATGGAAGTACTGTATTGTCAAATACTGGACAGCTTATCTGAATGGTGTAAAGCAGCCAGAGTACAGGCATTTGCGCATGTGCTTTACAGAGCACAAAACCTCTTGCTGTTTAGCTGGTGGATGCTACACATCAAAATATCATATAACGTTTCCAAAAATTCTATTCAGGGCCGGCACAGCTTCCCTGTTATCAAATTTCACCACATGCCACTGTAATCTAGTGAATTCAAAATTATTTTTATGTGAATTAAAATTATGTGAATTAAATTCAAAATTATATTTTGAATTTAATTCACATTGAATTCTACAGTCTCTCAATTTTGAATAAAATAGAAAATTATAAATTAGACGTTCAGACTATTTACAAAAAATATTTAATTTTTGAGTCTATTAATTAATCCTTTTCACACACCATAGAAGTACACCTTTTACATTGGTATTGAAGAAATCACTTCATAAAAAACAAATAACAATAGGTAAACATTCACATCTTTAAAAATGACCAGACGTCAGCCTTTCATTTTAGGTTCTGATGCCTTAACATTAAAAAAATAAAGTAAATCTTCTTCTCAGATGTTGATATGGAGATTTTAGCTCATATAGGCTCTTTCTCCGACAGACATTTGGTTATGATCGGTAGGCGACCGATTAGCCAGCCGTATCCGAACAGCCTATACGTGCGCGTGGGGAATAATGCCTTCCGGGAGGACTTTTATGGGGAACTGGCCTCCTATTCAGTCGTTATTGGCAAGGAGAAAACCCGGAAAACTCCAAGCAGCCAGCCTGTCCGATCGCGGCGTGAACCCACGACCGAACGTCCCAGTGTTTAGGGTCTGGTCACCGCTATGAGCGGCAACGGAGACCACTCGCCCACTGGTGGGGGCAAAGTAAATCTTCTCACCCTACTATCAAGTTTTATACAATTTGTATCAGGTTCAAGCCCTCTAGTGGTGGATATGAGTTATCTTTAATTTGCATGTAGTTACAATTTTTATGATGAACTCAGGATATTTTTCCAATTATAAATTAGAAGTTCAGACTACTTACGAAAAATTAAATATTTTTTGTAAATAGTCTGAACTTCTAATTTATAATTGGAAAAATATCTGGGTTTATCATAAAAATTGTAAAATAGAAAATGTATTGATAAATTTTATGATGATTAATTTACATAATTGTTAAGAAGTTATTGAATGGAAAGTAAGACCAAGCCATGACTTCATACTAAAATGATGATTATGATTTTAGTACAGGAAACCTTCATTTTTCTTTCAGAATGTCATTTCTGTACTGTAAAATTTTTTGATTTTATGTGTATGACTAAATGAGACTAAGTTGTATTGTTTTAAATACTACATATTCTTAAAAATTAAATTGTTTTTTTTCTAAAACTAACAAGATCAAAATGCTTAACTTACGAAATTTCTTACTTAAATATAGTGTATATTACCACTAGTATAGAAATAGTCATTTTAAATATTTTAATGTTTCAAATTTATTAATTTATATATTTTTTAATACAGGATTGAATTATCAAATTTTGAAAAATGGATAAAAGATATTGATTTGGTTATTGGAAGAAAATTACAACAACCTTTAATTTCAAGAGATGCAAATGAATATATTTATGCTAACTTTGATTTAGAAGTTAGTGTTTTTTATTATTTTATAAATTGTTAAATAATATATAAACAATTTAAAAATGCATAAATTTTAATGGTTTTTCTATTTATGAAATAAAAATATAATAATTCAAAAATATTTAAAGGGGGTTATAAATTTTAATATAGAATATTTAAAATGAAATTTAAGCAAATCTTTTTATTTAACTTTTAGATTTAATTAAATCAAATCTAAGAATGTAAGTGCTTAATTGCTTAAATATTTTGCTGGTTTTTTATCTTGAAGCATACATTTCTGAGTGGAAACACTTTTATTACTGAATAGGCATCTTTCACATATTATTTGGACAAATTCTTGAACATAAGACAGTTTATTTTTGATACATAACAATAACTTAAATCTGAATTATTGATTAATTAATTAATGCTTCTAGTTCTTTATACACTCTTCAAAAGTGAAATTGCAACACCAGGAAGAATGCACATAACTATGTGCAAATTGCAGGACCAGTACAGGTGACAGAGTTATGCAAATGAATAAGTTTATGTATACAATGGGGTTTTTGATAAGCAGTTTTGGGATATAAAGACCAGCTGATAGCTTTTACGATTCAGCCTGTAAATGCTATCAGTGACAGTTTATGGTAGCTGAACTTTTGAAAAAGCATAGAAAATGCCTAAGAGACAACAGCAAGCTGAATATTACCAGTTAATGGTTAGGGGATGAGACTATCCTGGAGCTGCCTGACCTTGGTTTGTTAATGTGTGTAGTTGTCATGTGTGTTGGACACAACATGAGTTTTATCCTTATCCAGCAATGTGTGATATGATGGACACAAGAACATTTGTGAACATACTGAAGAGTGAGTTATTTGCAGTAGTACACAACAGAGTGCACAGACCAGCAGATTTGGAAAATGGCCCATTGGGACCTGTTTGCCACAGCACGTGATATTTTTTTTATAAAACAGAAATAAGCAACATTCAGGTTTCTTACTGAATTAATATAATGTTATCTATACATTACTCAGAATTAAAACATTCATCAAAAACGATTTACCCAATTTCCACACACTCTTAATACCTTTCAAACAAATGCTTTATTCTAATAGAAAGCATTATGATGAATAACAGAAATTTACCTTCTAAACATAGACTTTTATGTGAGCTTGCCAACTAGGGAGAATCGTTAAATTCCTCTTCAGTTTGGTTAAGGGTGTTTGTGTATATGGGTGGTGGTGGCAGAGGCACAGATATGAGGCACTTTAACAAAAAAAAATCTGCTTATTGGATGCAGAGGATCTGCTTACATAGATAGATGACAAGTTTCCATTTCAAATAACCAAAGTTGTCTAAAAGTCCTTTATCTCAGTGTTCATCTTTTGATAAAGAGACTTTCGAAGGCAATCCCAAGGCAGTGACAATAAGGCATTTGGCAGGAGGTGTCTTGCTGCAAGTGATGCACTAGGTGAGTTATCAGATAAGTAGAGCGATATCAATTTCTCTTGGGACACAAGTTTGACTGTCAATACAATTTAGGAAAAACTGCAATTCTGTGTCATTCTGCTTTTTCTACCCATTGTGCACTCTTGTCCTTGAAGTCCAGGGATTTTATAAAATTCTTCCCCAACCTCTTCATTCAATTGGTTAGGACTTTTGCTTGTTATTTCCTGATTGGTCTCTTTCCCTGTTTCCAGGTGAAATAGGATTGATTCAGGTCCCGGAAAAATGTCTACCTGAGACAATCTATCCAACACCATTCCTTGACTCTGCTCAGAAAGTGATGACAAAACCAAAAAATGTGCAGTCATAATTTAACCTGTTATTTCATTTCTTTTGTTCTTGACCATTTTTGATCTCTAACGTTTATTGTGATGCTTTCCTTTTTTTGTCAATCTTTATCTTTTCTCCAATTCAATTTAACTTTGTTTATGATATATGAGCACTGATGTCAAAGTTCGATCTCTCTGGCTTGATGCTGATCGGTAACTCAATATGCATCTGAGTTGCACTTGGGACTTGCTTGTTTACTTTCAAGTCATGTTCTCAAATAAACAAACATCTGTGTCTGGCTGCAAGCATTTTTTTTCCTTGCTCCAACAACAAATAATTTTAATGCAAAATTTGTTGAAGATTTGCCTCTATCTAGCACATCACATTTATCAGATTAGATTATCTGCACCACAAACTTGGAAAAAGAACCTGTCAGATTAATTAAACCTGGTTTGATAAATAAGATCCAAACACATTGGGTCACATAACATTTTTCAAACTTATTACATTGTGTGAATTTCCCTGTAGTAAACAAGCTAATTAAAAATTTAGGCTGTCTAATAGACCAGTTTCAGACTAAATACATTACATTTATACTAATACAGGTGAATGCATTCACATTAATTTGTTTTATGAATCAGTCCTGTTTCATGTTATAGCACCTTGACCTCTCAATGGACTCTTTCACTAAATGAGCTAACAAAATTTTGTATTAACTAACAAACTATCCTAAGACTCATTATATTACATGCTTTCTACTTGTGAACAATTGAGGTTACTACCTGATACTTTTTAGTCTGGTTGCTGAAAAATTTGGGAATACTATATGTGTGTGGAAAGGACACTGAGGCAGAGGCAGTGTAAGGTGTGGGCGATCGCCTACGGCCTCGCTGTCCAAGGGGCCTCGCGCTTCGAAGGTTTATGCATTACATAAAAGCTGTAAACACAATGAAAAAATTTTACTCGTCGTAAAACGATAAATATATTGACATACCAAATTTGTTTTTATTTGTCTAGCAACATTTTTTGGGGTTGGGTTGCTATCGCGGGGAATCCTTGCCAGTCAGAGCTGGGGATTTCCCATTGTGTTTGTTTACGTTACTTTCACGATTCTCAATGGCTAGAAAGCCAATCAAAGTATCGCAGTAAAGTATCCTGTAAATAGTGGAGTTAAAACTTGAATATTAAATATTAATCCCAGGGCATTTTTTACACTTTGCGGTTGTCATAGCTAGAATCTGCTGTTGGTAGATGCAGCTAATTCTTCTGTGGCAGCAAAAACATTTCTTGGTTTTATTCAGAAAATTTATTTGCTATTTTCAAGTTCCAGCAAACGCTGGGAATTAATCAAAGGCAAATTAAAGCTTACTATGAAGCCTTTATCAAACACAAGGTGAGAAAGCAGAATCGAGGCAGTGAAGGCCATATTATTGCAATTTGATGTTGAATGCATCGAAAGCTTAAAATATCAAACGGAACAATCAGACACACTCAGTGATTGTGATTCAGTTTTAAACAAAATGCTCAGTTTTGAATTTATCATATCATTACATGTATAGTATGAATTATTATCGCTTGTTAATATCATAAGCAAATTATGGCAATCTTTACAAGTCCATTTAAGCAATGCTCTTGAACATTTGCGTACATTTTGTGACTGGATCAAAGAATATCGACAAACTGGATTCGAAAAATGCTTGTCTGATGCTCGTCAATTTATTGAGAATAGCAGTTATGAACTGCCAAAAGACTTTAAAAACGAAAGGGTAGCCAAAAAGAAAAGGATGTTCAATGATGAAGGCAGCGATCAACCTATACAATCTCCCAAAAGCAGGTATGAAACAGATTTTTTTAACATCACGATTGATTCTATAATGAGCAATATGGATTCAGGATTTATGTCTTTAAATCAACATTTTGAAAATTTTGGTTTTCTTTATGATCTAAGCAAGTTAAAAAATATTCCAAAAGAGCAAATATTAAAAAACTGTCAAGATTTACACTCAGTCCTGCAAGTGAGTGAGAGCAGCGACTTACAACCTTACGAATTATATGAAGAATTACAAACAATGATCCCAAATTTACCGAACTTCATTAAAGATGTGAAATAGCTGCTCCAATACATAACATAAAATAACTTGAAAGAAATTTATCCAAATATTTACATTGCCGTTCGAATTTTGTTAACAATACTGGTAAGTACTACCTACACTGAAAGCTTTTCAAAATTAAAACTAATAAAAAATTATTTAAGAAATACAATGGGTCAGGAAAGACTTTCAGCTTTCGCAGTTTTATCTATTGAAGCATATATAGCATATAAGCTGAATTATGATACAATTATTAAGGAGTTCGGTAAGGCTAAAAGCAGAAAATTTCTGTTTCTTTAATTTTTTTTAATGTTAGTTAAAGAATATAGTTTGCATTTTTAGGAATAAAAATTTGACAGTTTCAACTGCTTTTTATTTTATAAAATCAGTCTTCTTGCACCACCAGAGGGCCTCGCAAAATGTACCTTGCCCACATCAAATTTAGGTCTTGCCCTGCCGCTGCACTGAGGCAAGCTCCATGGTTACATAATAAGCTTCAAATGCAAAAAATTCAGATTATGCTCAAAAGAAAACAAAGGGGAACATTAAGGAACAATGAAAGAGAGATTTTTTTGTGATTAGATTATGATGGTGAGGTGATGAAATATCAGGATTGTATGGGCACTGGTATAAATTCAGGAGAGGCATTGATGCATGCTTGTCAGAATTTTCAATGTGATTAGCTTTTTTGCCATTGATGTTCTACTACCCACAAAAAAAGTGTCATGTATGTAAAACAACAGAATGCTTTTACTGCAGTGAAAGAATGAGCAGCTGCAGAAAACGAGAAACAAATTAGTGAGCCAGAGAAAGTTGCAAAATAAAACATTGCAAACATCAAATTTTGTTTATTAATGAAACTCCAAAAAAAAGTAATGGAAATCAGCATTTACAAAACTATACAAACACTCACAAGTCACTGAGATGAGTCCACTGACATAAGCAGAACAAAACAATTTGCAATATTTGCATGTATAGCAAGTTTCTCAAACTCAAACGTAGCCATGCTTTTTCTGGCAAATTATAATGTTATAATTATAATGGTGAAGCACAAACTGTTGTTGACAAAATATGTGTAGTTCTTCACACATACTTTGTGTGCTTCACAAAATATGTATGAAGCACACAATGTTCCGTTAGAAAAATTAGTTGGGATAGCTTCTGATGATGTAGCTGTTATCATGGAAATTGTACTCAATGGAGCAGAAGTTAAATTGACTGCTCTATCACCCATTCTGTGACAAGTGCATTGCGTAGCGCACAGGATATATTATCATCTTCACAAGCATGCAAGAATATACAGGTCCTGTAAAATTTTGATCACATTTACAGGTACTACTATAACTTTGCAGTGAGATATAATCATTTGCAAGAAATTGAAGAGATCCTTCAATATGATTTAGTGTTATTAAAAGTGGCTATCACTTTTTCCAGCTGTTGTAATAGACAGGAGTTTAGCCTCTTTTGGTTTTGAAATCAAAAAATCCAATTCAACTGTAATATTCAAGGGTATAAACACACAAGTTTTTCTACTTTATTAAAGTTATTTTGGATATATTGCCATCTCCGGATAAGCTGTGCAAGATTTCTGTTAAAGAAAAATATTTAATTTTTGTTATGCCAGGTTCCACCACCAGGGTGTGTTATGTATTTACAACACTGCCATGTGTTTTTATTCTTGTTCCTGTATTCACACTGTACAGACTGTAAAATAAAACCTCTCTTTGTCTTCCAGTTTGGAGTGCCATTTATCAGGTTATGGGCCCAGGCCACGTCAGGACAAGTCAATTTTAATCAAAGAATTAACACCCGTTAAGGACTTATCTCGAGATAACTTGGGCAAGTTCCATAGCGTTACATAAAACTCGGGCGTTTGGACCCTCTGAAATTTTTTTTTATTTTTGGATGTTTTACAAATTTTTTCAAAAATTTTTACCCGCGCGAAAAAATTTTATCGCAATTTTAATCGCGCAATTAATGCTTAATTGTTTTTTAATGTGATTTTTTTATCAAATTTAATTCATTGTTCTAAAGTTGTAGTGCACAGATTTTACTTTGATAAAGTTATTTAAAGCTACTTTCTGTGTCAAAAACGACCTCCAATAGTTTTTTAATTTTTTTAATTAATATATTTTATTATATATAAGTTTAATTAAATCGGGGGGGGTCGGAAATCATAATAAAGATTTTAATTTTTTAAAAATATTTAAAAATATACCGCCAGCTAGTATTTACCCTACTTTAAACCCTTGTCCTCCCGAGACATCTATGAGATTGTCCCGGGAAATCCGACACCAGATGTTCTCAAGGTCATCCAGCTATAAACACAATGACTCATCGGTGTCAAATTTCGCAGAAAGACGAGACAATGGAAAATAAAGTTTGAAGCTTTTTCTTCAAAATTAATGCATTTCTTTCATTTTTTTTTCAGTTTTAAATATCAAAAATTGGAAAGTCTCAAAGGAGTTAAGTATCTGAATTTCATTGATCAAGTCATCATACTAAAAATGGAATCTGTGAGTAATACCTTTACTATTGCTAAACTGAAGGGTGCTGAAAACTGGAACTTATGGAAGTTTAAAGTAGAAGTTCACATGCAGTCCAAAGGATGGATAGATGTGTTGCATGAAACACCGACAAAGAAAGATTGAGACAACACGTAAAGGTGCAGATGTAATCATATCTCTTGTAGAAGACAGCGTTTTGTCCCATCTAATAAGTTGTAAAACAGCATCTGAAATGTGGAAGAAGTTGACTAGTCTATTTGAACCCAAATCATCTATCGGAAAATATCTTTTACAAAAGAAATTCTTTGACTACGAATTTCAAGCCAAAAGACCAGGAATGCACATCTCTGATTTAAAGAACATTGTAGCTAAATTGAAGGCACAAGATGTTGCTTGTTGGAGAGATTAGTAAAAACGAGTTAGACTCGTGTAACTGGTTATATAACAAAGATACAATGAATACACTGTCTTGACTCATGGAAGGTCAGCGCTGAAAAGGGGAGAGTGAAACGAGGTCACCATCTCTAACGGCTCCCCAAGGGGTCAACAGTGCCACCAACCTTTTATTACGTAACAGCAGAACGTTTATAAAACATTGCGACACAATGTGTTGCACATAACAATGTCGTATAACATTTGACAATAATTTCGATTGTTGATTCCAACAGTTGCAGTGTACCAATTAGCATCATGCAGTCTGCTAATGCATCGCAACAAGAACTGCTCTTTTATAAGGATATTGGCATCATATACTCACCAATACCTGTGACCTGTCATATTTGCAGATTGACAGTGAAAACAGGTGAATGCACACTTTATTGAATTCTGCTCAAAAGATGCTTTCATATCCTGCAGTTGCTGTCATGGTAAGCTTCAGCTATGGTATGCCTGCTGCTGAAAATGTATATGGGTCATCTGTCACAGGTTTTGGTTTGCTTGCTTCTCATTGTTCAAACACTAATATCTCTTAACAAAATTGCCAGGATGATAACTGTAAATTCACAAATATATAATATCTATTTATAAAAGATTATACAATAAAATTTTTATAATAAAGTGAACACTGTTTATATATATATTTATATATTATATTTATTTTTAGTTGGCTGGTATTTTGAAAGAAGTGAAGTATCTGAAAGCACTCAATTATAGTGAGCTACCACAACTAGCAATTGAATTTTATGAAAAATCAGATATGTTTTATCAATGTGTTTGGAAATTAAAAAAAATTTCAGAATGGTATAACAGATTAAGAAACTTATTATTACCAATTGAATTTTCTTTGGTTACTAAGCAGTTTTTAAATATGGATAAAAGAATAAATGAAGGTGAAAGTAAGATAACTTGGATTAATAAAGGTATATTTAATTTTTATATTTTTGACAAGATTTATTAAGATATAATTTGATGTCTTTAAATGGAAGTCATGAAATTTTAGATAATGTTTTAAATAGCAATAATTCTTATAATATTATAGTTTTGAAAATTAAAAATACAAAATTCAAATGAAATACAGTGGAACCTCGGTATACGACCTTAATCCGTTCCCGATCTTTGGACTTATACCGAATTGGACGTATACCAAACCAACCTTTCCCATAAGAAGTAATGTAAAAATGATTAATCCGTTTTTGTGTAAAAAAAAATGGCTGGCTTTAAACACCTTGCTTTCCTGGCTAGTTCCTGTTTGATTTTTCGTGAGATCAGTATGTATCTTTTTAGCTTTCTCACAAATAATTGCTTCCGATATGCTATCTCCAGCACTGTTTTTCAGTTATCCAAAGCAAAACCAATATCTCAACATAATCTAATGTCTTCGATCTCTGTTTAGAAATTGATTTAACCCCTTATGCAACGTTAGCAGATTTAATAATGTCTTTATTTTTCGTGATTGTCCATATCATCATTCTCGAAATACGGTAAACAACAGTTAAAATCTCGAACACGTGTGCCACCTTCGTATTTCTCAACAATCTCTTTTATCAGTTCCATTGTGATTCTAGTCAATTTTTTAGTTTTCTGTTGCTTTTCATTTTCCTTTTTGCAATTTGTGATTAATAAAAATAATAAAATTTTACTTACGAATTAAAATCAGAAGAAATTTAACAAAGTTATAAACCGTTGCACCGCAAACGTCTAGTCTGGTCTAGTACACTGATAGTGCTACTTGTTCATTGATGATGCATATAATTGAATTATGTCGTATACCGAGCAAAATTTGTTTTGTCCAAACAGGACGTATTCCGAATTGGACGTATTATAAAGCAGACGTTTACTGAGGTACCACTGTATTTGTTTTATGAAAACATAACTAATGTATTGTACCTAAAGTATTGTATTATATATTGATTATTAGTAATTATTGAATAAAGATAAATATATTATTGATTCATCCCTAACAATAATGTTTTAAAGTTATTTTATTTATATTTTGTTATAATAACTAAAAATTTTAGTATTTTTATATTAAAAAGTAAAAACTCTGATTTTATGCATTTAATATATATATATTAGAATATAATTGTATAATATTATAACATTTTACAATATTTTTTTACAGCAGAAGCTGAAGATTATGTTAATAAATTATACACTGATACAGAAGTTCTATACAATGCAATTTTTACTGCTAATAATAACTTTTTAAATATTCAAAAACTAATAGAAACTTGGTACAGATGCCCTCTTTTTGAAAGAAAAGATAAAAAAACTGATACATTATTGCATTTAGAAGATAAAACTGAGAGACTAAATAAGCGATATGCAGAGATAAAAGCCACAGGAGAACAAATAAATGCTATCTTGCAGGTATTTTTGTTTTCAAAAACATCGTTATTGTAAAAATTTTAATGTATTTTTAATATAAATATATTTTTTTTCCTACAAAATTACTAGTATTATAATAACAAATGTTATGATTGATTAAAATTTATTTCTTTTTATTTTCAGGAAAATAAAATATTATTTGAAGCTGATACAAATTCTGAACAATGGAAAGATTATGTAGAATATATAGATCAAATTGTTATAAATGGCCTGTTTAATGTCATCAAATGTAGTTTATCATATTTAATAGAAAATACTGATGAACACTCTGTACAGGTAATTAATTTTTAAATCAGTCAAATAAAGACTATAACATTAATTAATTAATATAAATAATATAATTTTTAGTTAACCAACATATTTGATTTTTTATATATGAGCTATTAGTTATTGTAAGATATGCCCTGTAGGAACAATACTAAATTTAAAAAAAAAACTAAATATACAGTAAAACCCAATTAACTGAAGTTCCCATTATCTGAAGAAACTTGTAAGTGAATACACTATTTTTCTTATACTGTAATTAATAAAAGAAAGTTTAAAGTGATAACATGCATTACAAGATTAGTTTCTGTTACTTTTCATCATTTAACTTTAATGTGAGACAAATTATTCACATTAAAATATAGCTATAAATGACAGTATATAACTACTGTTTGCTGCATAAAGTTTTGTACCTAATTCTAAGCAATCAGCATGAGCAGAAGTTGATGACTTGCAATGAAGCTCAGTTCTCCCTGTTATCAAAGTGGTTTGAAATGGACTATTTTGTTCTGCAATGTGTTGGGTGAGGAAAATGATTGACAGGGGCATCATTTAGGGCTCTAAGCTAATAATACTAATTGCTGCTCGATATTATAGTCTTGTGTGCAGCACTCACGGAACACGATGCACACGTGGCTAGAGTTTTTATTATAAGATTGTAAAATTACGGTCATCACATATTGGAAACCACAATTTTATATTTTATTTATATAATTTTTTTCCTTCTCAGGCTTCCTATGATTATTTTTTTGAAATTTGATTAGATAAACAGACACAATAAATCAAATGTTGCTTCCTTGTAAATGATATCAAGTTTCACAGATTGACATCAGCTTTGTTTGTAATTGCAAAGGGTTAGGGTTGTGTGTCAAGGTCAGGATAGTGAAACTTTATTACTTTTGCAAGAGGGTGTGAAATGAAAACAAACTGTCACACTCAATTGTAAAGTAAACAAACCACAAAGTGTTTTATTATGGTCTAAACAAAAGCTTACTTTCGATTCTAAGAGGATCAGATGACAATGTTATTGCATTTGGAAGAATGTTGACTTTCATATTTTTTCATATTTAGTTTGATCACATGATTAATTCTTTTTATGCAATATAGTCACACAGTTAACAAAAATCGATTCACTTCATTCAAAAATTAATATATATACTCTAATATTCTTAAAACAAAAAATTATGGTAATTTTATCAAATAATTGATTTGTCATGCTGCCTGAATAACACTTACTGAATGAACAAGTTTTAAAGATGCACACTTTGTATTATCAAAAGTTATATATATATATATATATATAAATGTCTAATGACTTAGCAATTTCTATACTTTAATATAGTCGGTCTATATTATTAGAAAGATAAAAAAAATAAAATAATACAAGTAAACTTATACTCATAAATAAACACGAGCTTATATATTTTACCACGCAATATTTTCCTCTTCAATAAAATTAAATGAAGATTATTACAATAAAGATGCGAATGTTTTATAAGTAACCAAAGAAAATGAAATTAAGACTTATAAATATTAATAAAAAAAGACTAATAACTTTCATGATATTATTTTGTTTTTGTAAAAAAACTTAAAACATAAATTTATATTATATTGTTTATAATTACAATTATCATAAAAGTAAATGGGAGCAAGTTAGTGTAATTGTTTCAGTTTCTAACAGTAGAGGGCGATAGAAATGTAAGTATGCTGCCATCTAGCGAGTAACCAATAAATGACGATTAGATAAATAATCGGACTGGTTGNTACAGTCGACCCCCCTATAACACTGTTGATTATTCCGTTTTATATGAATTCCATGTTGTACGAGTCACTTAGATTTTACAAATACGTGAGCCGTTCACAGCCCAGCATATGTATTTGTAAAATCTAAGTGACTCGTACAACATGGAATTCATATAAAACGGAATAATCAACAGTGTTATAGGGGGGTCGACTGTAATTATTTAATTTAGATATAACCATATTGGGCATAATGTATGTTGATAAAAATCTGGCTGTTGTTTTATTAGTTTATCAAATTGTTGTAAATGTTGTTATGATTATGTAATATGAGAAGATTTTTCCTGACAAACATTTTTAAAAATGTATTTCTGAAAAATTAAGTATTTCATACAAAGGAAGATAGTTGTGGTGAGAAAATATTGTGCTACATTGTTTTTGTTTATTGCATGTAGAATTTAGCTACTTCACATTAAGCATTCCTAGCACAGTAAGCATTGTGCTAGGAATTAGTAATAAATTCTCTGATAACATTAAACAAGAGCATATATTGATAGAGTAGTTATTAGAAGCCAGAGATAATTCTTAAACCATTGTAGACAACTCTGGAGTCACAGGTTACTGATGACAAGTTTTGTAAAATTTGCAATGAATACATTTACTGGTATATACATTTTTGTAAAACTTTTTAAATTTTATTCTATTATGTAGAATAAATAATTATATAAACATTATATTTAACTTTTTTAGGCACCATTTTTTGAAATTTTTATGGAATTGAATGGACAAGAAATTACTTTTACTCCAGCAACTGATAAAAGTGTATTTGGAAACTTTTTAAGCATTTTTTATGATCTTACTGTGGACATATTCAATTTAGCAAAAAATATACCAAGGATAACAATGAAAAAAGATAAAAAAGATTATGAGGTAAGTATTAATATAGAAAATAATTTATAATCCAGTACAGAATACGACTTTTATTATTTAAAATTGAACTGAGTTTATTTATAATTTAAACATGTCTTCTTAAAATTAAACTAAATTAATTATTTTTAGATTAAATAAATTTTTAAAAATATCATGTTTTATTTTTTAGAAATTATTGTTACAGCTTAAATATTTTACAAGTAACCAAAAAATTTTTATTATATTTTCAGTCATTAAATTTTTATTACAGTCAAACTTGACTAATTCAAAGCTAAAGAAACCAATAAAAAATTTGAATTAGATAAGTTTTAGTATGGGTAGTAAAAATAACTTCAAAAATTATTTTTGGAACAAACAGTTAATAAAAACAATTTATTCAAAGACTTATTATGTCATGTAATATAGCCTATTTACAAATTTTTAAAAAAGCTTGAAACTTTCAATTGGTTTTTGAGTTTATTTATTGAATTTATTCATTGAGTCTCAAAGTTTATTAAGTGACTGAAAAATGATATCACTTACATTCTACTGTTCCATGACAAACTATTGTAATTCCCAGATATGCTCCATGGCTTGTGCTGCTGATAGAACTGGTTTCTCAGGAAGTTCTAGTTGTTTCCCATATTCATCTGAAGATGCACTGTTATTTTTGTTTTTCAGCATATAAACAAAAATTTTGATTTATCTGTAAGTTTTTCACAAACTGCCACATTGTTGTTCATATTAACAAAGTTCTCAAAAGAAATGCTTGTACTTTGTTCCACATCTTCCCAGTTATCCACAACAGGCACAATCTCTTCAACATCATCTATATTTTTATCTTCTAAATGGCAAGCCAGCTTGACTCCAACCATTGTTACACATCCAAGCAACTTGTATCAGGTTGATCTTGACTTATTGTTTTTGTTGGTGTAAGCACCTGATAGAATGTTCTAGACCGTAAGGTGTTGATAGTGGTGCTATAAACTTTTAATCACTCTTTGAGCCATTAGTTGAAGTATTAATGTCATATTTGGGTGAAGAAATATTAACCTTTACATTTTCCATCGGGAATGGTGTTGTGTGCTATACAGTTGTTAATAAACAATGAAAGTTTTTGGTTTTGTTTTCCAAATTTTTCATCAATTTTTAAAAGTCATCTTTCAATAATTGATCTCATTCCATGATTATAATGCATTTATATTTGATATTCCAATGATTTAGTTTCAACATTTTTGAAGCATTATGCTTTGGTTGACTTCCCGATTATCAACAAAGATAATTTTTCAGATTCTTCTATGTTAGCTCTAACTAAAGCATTATCCTTTCCTTGCTATGTTTACCACCACTGCAATATTCAGTTTTGAAAGCTAATGTTTTGTGTGAGGAACACTTATAAAACAGTCCAGTTTCATCAACATTAAATGGACCTTTGAAACCTGCACTTGCATTTTATATTGTTATGGTTCTCATTCTGACATTTAGGAATTTTAATTACAACACACGATGTATTTCTTTCATTAAACTGTTCAGTTTTCCCAATTCAATTAAATTCTGTCATTTTTATATGAGCATCAGAGTCAAAGTTCAAACTCTTCAGACTGATATTGATTTATATACTAACATGTGTTAGAGTCACACTTAGGATATATTATTTACATGTGTGTTTCCTTGTGTCTTATTTCTTTTCTATATTAAAATATTTTTCTCAGTGCATGTAACAAGAGGCTCGACTTGTCTGGAACCTCACACTCACTGTGTTATGTACTACAATTAATTGTACATTATTTGTTGGTAATTCTTGCCAATTTTTACAAATGCTTCAAAATTATTACTGGTATATCACAGAGAAACAAAATGTGATCAGAATAAGCATACATAATTTTATCTCATATTAGTTACAAAAATAAGGCAATTTTTGGCTACTTTTCAAATGCTTTTAACAATTGCTAATTGATACTATCTGTATTCTTCACACAATTGATTCATTACAATACTTAGGTTTTTAATGTATTAGTCATTTTTGTGCATACATAGGCTGTATGCAATGAATTTTGTAAATATAACTATACAGGTAATGGCTTAAAATCAAGATTTTAGGATATTGTAATTGTAATTTTTGAACATTCTGAGTATGAGAAATTAAACTCTCAAAAAACTTGTTAAAATAAATGACTTGTGTGTTACATGATACTGAATATTATTTAAGTTATTAGAAGAAAGTTATATATTTTAATTGCTAAAAATAATGGTATGTATTTTAATAAAAAATTTTTTCAATAGGCTTTAATGAAAGAAATTGATGAATTAAGTTTAATGAATGAAATTATATGGCAACGTTCAGAAGAAGCTCTGACAGCATTAACTAATTTTGTAAGCACATTTAAAAATTATGCATTTCTATGGGAAGTGGACAAAGAAGCTCTGTTGCAAGAATTTCTTATATATGGAAATTCACAGTTCATTGAAGATATGAGTGAAGAAATTGAACCAGTCCCTTCACCTCCAACATTAGAATTATTTGAAAAAGAGGCAAGAAATATTTGGTTTTATTTTAAAACTATTGAGCAGTTTTGCTAATACATATCAATGAATTTTTTTTGCTAATATGTTTCAGTCAAAAAACAAAAGAAATCACATAATATTTTTAAAACATGATGGATTTGCGAAATTAACACATACAGTAAGACCTCGCTTAATGCTGCCACGATTAACACTGATTCAAATTAATGTGGCATTTCATTGATTCATATATAATACGATTATTCCCAAATACGAACCAATCAGCAAAAGGTGGCAATTTGTCATAGTGCTGTACTTCCCTTATACTACATTCGCACACAATCCATGACTCACTTTGATCTCGATTTACCTACAATCTGAATTGTGACTGTTGCCAGTCGAACGTCATGCTGTTCACACAGGCAATCCGCTCGAGAAGAATCCGGCTATTACACGTGATAATAAGACTGACAAAACTATGCGGTAAGTCACGAACACCAACAAACAAAATGGAAGTTTTGGTTAGAAATAAATACTTTTTCTTGCCGTATATCTAATAATAGACAGATGTCATCGTCTCTCCAGATATTTTTTTTATTTTTCTGTCGATAGCCAGACACGTGTTCAGCAGCCATCCTGTATTTTCTCGCGCACGTGGGATTGTGGGATCTCTCTTATGACTGAATCTAGTTTCAAGAACTCTCTCGAGTCGATTGCAATTTAACCTCGTTTCAGTCAAGATTGAAACGGTCGAGAGAGGTTGCACCACAGAACAGTCTCTGACCTTGGTCACAATCTAGATTGAAATGCTTGGTGCGAACGGGGTATTAGATCTATGTTTGTTTTGTGCAATTTTGGAAAAAATATAACATTATGAATGCCATAGGCAATATTGTTCTGAGTCAACTCAGAATCTGTGGAATCAAACCAAAAGGAAAATTTTTAAAAAATTATTTAAATTAATGTAAAAGATAATATAATTGTAAGTGTAAAATTGATAATGTAAAATCATATGCTGAATTAATAAAAAANTAAAATAATATAATTATTTATTTTTTTTATTTTATTAAAAAGGGGGAGTTACCTTGGGATACTTTTACTTAATTATTATTAATTATTTTATAAAATTACCCAAAAAATAAAGAGAGAGTTGTAAAACTATTGAATAAAATTGATATTTTACACAATTTGATGGAATCTTTATGTGCTCTTGCATAGGACCGGAACTTGCAGAATTAAGTATGATATTAATGGATTATATAATTTATAATTTTTAAAGTTATCTTCTTAATTATTAGAACTAATGACAACCATTAATGAACCTTTAAATCCAGTAACAAAAAATGTTTAATAGTTGGTTTAATAGTTAGTAAACCTAAAGCAGACCTTGGTTTAGGTTGAAAGCTTGTTTGATGTTTTTATTGAATGTTTTTTGTTACTGAATTTAAAGATTCATTAATGATTTTTATAATTTTTACACAGGCATAATATTCTACAATGAATATGTTGATGATAGTATAATAATCTCTGACTCTTTCTTAACAAACCACAGTTTATTTTATAAAATGGAAATAAATTAATCCAGATATTAAATTTGATATTGAAATTGAAGAAAATAATCAAATTAATTTTTTAGATTCAACTATTCTTAGAAAAATAAACTCCCTGAACTTTAGTAAATACATAAAACCATGTAACATTAAAAAACTGTGAATTTTTATTCTGATGCTCCATTATATATGAAAAGAACATTTAAAATATGTATACAGGTAGCCCTCGGTTTACGCCGGTTCAATTTATTCCGATTCACAATAACGCCGCTGCGCAATTTGCCGTTTTGCGGTGTAATTCCCCTATTTTCCCTATGCTTTTCATTTCAGTGTTGACGTATTTACCGAGCCGCGACATTGTACATTCGTTAAAACAAAGATTTTTATTGAATATATTTATTTTTTTTGTTTAATATTACTGGGTATGTATACATTTGCATTAAATTAATATTAAAATACTAAACGTTTAGGTACCCACGAGTCAAGTTATTAAACTTAATAGTCCAATAAATGGCATCCGAATCTATAGCGCCAATGAAGGTATCCCGTATCAGTTCGTTCAGGAAAACACCTTACAATGCAGTAGCACTTCCAGAGATCACAAACTATCGTTAGTGAGACAAATCTACTTCTCGTTGGCCAGACGATATCTACTTCTTGTCAGTCAGACAATATCTATCTCTCCTTAGCCACCTTGAATTTTCCCACTCAAACTGACTTATATATGCACTACGGCGACCGGTGGTCAACCAATCAGTGTCTCCACTCGTTTGTAGCTCTATGTTGGGTTAGCGCATCTTTTCAACTATGGAAAGTTTGACGGATGAAGTTTGTAAGTTAGACAATGATTGAGAGCGAAGTGCAAATGTAAAAAGGAGCATCATCGCATCCATTCAACCATATTCCGAAATTCTCAATGAAAAAAACAAAAATGTAAACAATTAAAGATGGATACTTTTTCCGAAAAATGTAAGAGATCTGAAACTAAAATTTTTAATAAAAACATTTCACTTTATTTTATGATAAAATACATTTAAAAAATTAATTTTTTTTGTATTTTGTATTATATTGTATTAATAAACAAAATTATTTGCGTATTTTTTACTTATGTAGAACCTAACCCTATAGCTCAGTGTAAATATGGGTTCGTTTTACGCCGATTCAATTTGCGCCGGCTTTTGTAGGAACGGAACTGCGGCATAAACCAAGGGCTACCTGTATAAGTAAAATTAAATTGAGAACTAGTGATTATGAAAAACAGAAGGAAGAAGTAGAAGAAATTTGTAAAATCTTTTATTTAAAAATGACCCTAAATTTTTAATAAATAATTGGGTTAAAATTTTACAATAATTAATAAATCTTTTTTAAATAAACCAATTTATATTAAAATATCATATATAGCTAATTTATTTGAAGAATTTCAAAAATCTTTTAAACCTTTTAATATCATTTTAGCACCAACTTTACAAAACTCATTAGTTAAGCAATTAAATTTTAACATTATAAAAGGGGGAAAAACATTGATTTGTTAAATGATAATTTAGTATATAAATTTTCATGCAGTTGTCAACCACCTTTTTATTATGCGAGTGAAACAGGAAGACAATTGAAAATCAGACTAAGAGAACATATTTGTGCTTTTAATAATTATTTTTGCAGTCCACTGTGTCAATATAGGTTACCAGATCTTACTAAACAGTGTTAATATTTTATTGAAAGAAAAAATCATCATTAAAAGAAAATTATATTTTTCTTTTAATGATGATTTTATATAAACATTTAAAAATTATAAAATTCCCAAAAAATTATAAAATTAATCTAAATGATTGTTTAGTTTTAAGTGAGATCTGGCAATGTGCATTAACTTAATTTTGGAAGAGTTTATTTAAGATGATAGGGAATTAAATCCTTATATAACAAGTTACTGTGTGAAATTGTCTTTTCTTACTTGTTGAAAAGGGCAGAAAAAAATGATACTTTTAACATAAATTTTTACTGTTTTATTTTTTTAACCATTTTTGTAATTAAATTTTTTAAAACTTGCATGTTAAAACTATGAT